TCTCTCTCTCTCTCTCTCTCTCTCTCTCTATCCCCTCTTTCTCCCATCACAGGATTGATCACTGTGTCGGCAAGATTTTTTTCAGAATAAATAATAAACAATGACCTTCGCTTTACAATTTTTATACGAGCACCGGCTGTGTATTCGCGCTCACCTGTCACAATAATCCATCCCAAAGGTAGGTTATCTGTCCCCATGGTTTTATGCACCCCGCACAATTTAGCAAAATTTGATCATTTTTTACATAATCTCTGATTATTTTTCCTTTATCATTCTTTGTTAAAATCAACAGAATCGCATAATTTTACATTTTGGGACTCAGTTTGCATAATTCCGGAATTATTCTAGTATAAAACGACGTGGACAGGGTTATGTCGTGGTATCGACCAAAGAAGGTTAATAGACTTGTTAGTTGAGGCGACACAAACAACAAGAAAGCAAAACCAATATAAGAGCAGCGACAGCGTAAACAGGAGCTAAGGCATTCAAGCACAGTTGCTGTTGCTACTGTTGTTGCTGCTGCTGTTACTGCTGATACTGGTGGTGCTGTTGTTGCTGCTGATGCTACTGCTGATACTGGTGGTGATGCTGCTACTGCTTCGACAACAATGAAGACTACTACTACTACTACTACAACTACTACTACTACTACTACTACTACTACTACTACTACTACTACTACTACTACTACTACTACTACTACTACTACTACTACGATTATTAGGACTATAAGGACTACTACAACTACAGTGTACCAATACAGCAACAGTATTACAACAAAACTATCATAAAAAAGAATAATTAACCAACATCTTCGAACAGAGACACCCTCTTTTCTTACCATAATCTTTTTTCGGCAACGGTCTTTCTTTCAAGACTCCATATACACCCTTGAAGGTAGAGTCAGGGAACACTGTCCGTGTCCAGTTAAAGGCGTTGAGGAAATCTCGCCGGAGGAGGTGGTCAAAGCGCTGAAACACTGGAGGCTCTTTGGTGTACAGAAGCCAGCTGTGATTGGAAACATTGTTTCACATCTCGGCCAACACAATTTTGATCATCCAATAAATAAATAAAATAATAAATTAATTAATACATAGATAAATAAGCGAAGGTGG